TTGTTGACATTTGCTTACCTATAGTCTGAGCTCTCAACCAGTATAATGTACCATTCACATACATATATTTGTTTTCATAATTTATCCTCACGTATATAGGAGCAACCGGATGAAGATTTTGTGGGCAGCATTCAAAAAATTCGTTCTTTGACCAATCTGCTGTGCACCGTTGGTACTCATCTGAACAGTATCCTCTATAAATATACAAATATTCAATACATATAAAATAATGGATCATCCAAACCCTTAGATCTCATTCATCACCATCTTCACGCAAACACCACCACCACCACCACCAACACTGCCCTCATTCTCACCATTATCATCACCGTCATTATCATTATATGTATTTTCTACACCCCTGGACCACTTTAAAAATATTTTGAGAAACGTTCGACCAAGCCCACAAAATGATTTTGAAAATAAAAATTGCATTCATAAAATACTTTGTCCATCCATTAATGTTATAGAATGACGTCATAATTTAATATGCACATCTTTCATAAGGTCTTTACTTGGACAATGTTTAAAGAAGATCCAAGCATGGAAAGTGACCAAAGTGCCGGACAGAAAAACCCTGTGTAAAAAAATATGAAACAGAATAGAAGCAGAAATAAAATCAGCAGTAAAAATTGACATTTAAGCTGGTGCGGGGAAGAAAAGCCAATAAAGGCGCTTGAATGTACTTTAGGACTACACTTGATGCCATGATCATATTAGCATAGCTCTTCAACGAAAAACTCTCTTTTCAGGTGCATAGAAATAGCATCATCATCATTATTTCAACTTACCTTCCTTGTCTATAATACATTGTATAATTTGTTGATACATTTCCTTTCCATCTGACACACAAGTCTGATCCAGTCGTTGATCTGTAAGTAATCTCTTGTGGAGGATCTACAAAATATATACAGTATTGTGCTTAAAAAATTGCGGTACATTGTACATGACCACTTTTAATATTTCTAGTCTCTGGGTACTGTATCTGTCTTCTGGCATAGAGCTCTTTTAAATGCCAATGCAGATTGCCCTCTAATTCGAGACCACTCTTGGTACCCTGAAAATGTGGGCGGTTTCGGGGTTCAATCTCAGATAATTTAGAGGGTTAGCTTGGTGGTTGTCTGATACTTTGAAAAAATGGTCTGGAATTAGGAATTTTCAGAATTAGAGGGGTCTCGAATTGGAGGGTGAACTGAATCATAGAAGCAATACTACTAACAGTAGGACTATTGTAATTACTTTTCCAGGTCTTTTTATACAGTATATTTTGGTATTAGACTTACATGGTCGAAGGGATTCATCATTGCAATGCTGGCAGCCTTGCTGACATTTTACGGAATAAGTTAGAACAAATCCAGCTTCAGTGTCATTCATTTGAAGAATCCATGACGTATCTATAGCATTCTGAATACACTGCTGTGAGTTGAGAAACATGCACATAATGAATATTTACCATGGATCATGGGGAGGTGGGTTGATATAGGGTAATAGCGTGCATTGTTGATTCTTATACTTCCGCCCAAGAAGTTTGTATTCACCTGTCTGCTAGCAAGATTATTCAGGAATAGATCATCATAAAATTTAGTGGAATGATACATAATAACAAAGTGTTGGTTATTTTTGGGAATAAAAGGTCAAAAAACAAGGTCAAGATCATGGAAATTTGATTTTCATCTACTTTAAATACTTGGTAAACAAAACTGATGATATAGGAAAGAAAACTGACTTTGAATCTCTCTTCTTTCAAACAGTACACTAAGCTGTATTCAATGTGTATCATCAATCACAAAACAAAATAATATGGCTGTCCGGATGCTGTGGCGTTTGACTTATGAGAAGACGGCCCTCTGTGACGAGGATGCTGTGATGATGGTGATAATAATTTTGATGATGATATGGCGATGATGACAATAGTGTTTTTTGACAATAATAATAATACAATAATCCTAAAATGTTAAAAACCTAGCTACTGATTCACCATATTCTTACCTCCTTACTTCTTAGTTCTTTTACATTCCATTCAAATACAGTATTGCTTACTGCTGCAAGTTTTAGGTCTGACATACATTTTTCCTTCCAATCAACTTAAGAAACAAACCGTCATAGTTTTGTTATTTAGACAAATATTTTTAAACCCACGGGAAAGGGTTATTCAGTCAAAAATACAACAAAAATACATAAGCACACTGGAGTGTGGGTATGCAACTGATCTTTTACAAAAACATAAAATCAAAATGGTAAAATATGTTTAAACAACAAAACAATCCAGATTCAACAATTACATCTTTCGAAAAAATATAGTATTCAAGACCTAATTGTTTTCAAAATATTGACTTTATTTTATTTAATACCTCCCATGGATGGGTGGTGGATGTATGAATGATATGTTGGATATTATTACATTTTTTATAATTATTTATTAATTGTAAATGTATGTTTCTTACTGAATAAAGACCAATAAAAACAATATAGGCCTATTAC